TGCCGGGGGTGGGGGGAGAAGGATTGGCGGGCCCAGGCCTCGCCACCACTGTGGGGGAGGGAGGAGGGAGAAGGCTGATGGGTCTGCCTGCTGGGCTCACCTGTTGCCGCTTCCTCCTCCTGCGGAGCTCCTCCTGCTTCTGCAGGCCGGGAGCTGTGGGGAATACCCCCATGTGAGTATTGCGGGTCCCTCTTCTTGTTATTTCTAGTTCTGAACTGTGCCATAGAGTATGGATCAAAAAATTCTGCATAATAGGGCCAGGGACAAACAGACAGAGGATTTTTCTACAAGCCTGTGGGAAGCCCCAGGTTTGCAGAAAAGTATGAAATGTAGGAAAAATACATTTGGGGGTTTAAAGAACCCCAAAATCATAGAAGCAATGTCTCCTTCGTTAAGAAAAACATGCTACTGAGATATCATGAAACCATGTTGTGAGATCTTGATGGCCATTTTGGGAGTTGCTAGGCAACCCACAACCAACTGCTGAAGATTTCAAGTATCAGTTAATGTCAATGTGAGGGAGGGGGAGAAAAAAATCTAGACGAGATAAACGATAGGAGCAGGGTTAGGGCTCACCCCCCGTCATATTTTTAATGCCCCCACCCCAATCTCCCCAAACTTTCCTACTTGCATCACCAGTGATGCCAGGGCAGGAGCAGCACAGCATGGGCCATGCCGAGCAAGCGGCCCAGTGGCAGGCAGCTTCATGACCCCGGGTTGAGGCCAGCTGTGCCTGGCTCCCTGGGGGCGATGGGGACGGGGACTCAAGTATCCCTAGGAGTTGTAGTCCATGCTGCTGCTGCTCTGGGGCGGAGGGAGGCCACTCGCTGGCTGGCTGGTATGCTGCCCACCTGTGCTGGCCAGTGAAGGCGGTTCGTTGGCCCAGGCGGAGCTAGAGACACTCATTCGGCTTGGAGATACACCCGCTCAGCTCAGAAAAGTAAAGAGCGGATTGTAAGCTCTCCAACACCAGTTTGAAATGGCTCATCAGTGGCTGGCTTCGATTGGGCAGCATAGGGTTTGGTCTGCCCGCCCCCTTCCCAGACCCCATCACTCTCACGCCCAAAAAGCAGCAGGGCGGGGAGAAAGCTACCAGTGGCTTTTTATTTAAATAAAGTAAAAGGTAAGACATATTTTTAAAAAATAAATTTTAATTAGGAGTCCTGCCCAGTGGGCCCCCCCCCCCCAAATCCTGGCTATGGGGCTGGATAGAAGGTAAAGGGGATGGGAGGTGCAAACAATGTAAAAAATGGAACTGTAGAGATGGGGGAGGGGAGACAGAAGAAGAGAGGAAGAGAAACATACAAATATAGAAAGGAGAGTGAGAGAGAAGTGAAGGGCAGAAGCCGTAAGCCGTGCCACGGAGAGGCAAAGAGAGGGGGGGGGAATAAGATCCTCACCACAAGTCCTTCCCCACTTGTCGTATTCACCTGTTTTTACTTCATTTGCTTCTGTAAAACTTAACTCAGAGTTGATTGTACCCTGTTTGGTTTTTTTGTTAGGTTTGTACTTTAACAAAAGAAGATAACCGTACAGTGGGAGCGATACCAAATGATGAACAGCTGCACGTGTTACCTCTTTACAAAATTTCACAAACAGATGAATTTGGCAGAGAGGAGGGACTGGAAGCCAAAATAAAAGCTGGGGCCATACAGGTGCTCACTGCTTTTCCTCGAGAAGTTAGAATGTTAGCTGAGCCACGCAGAGCAACAAAGAAGAAGAAATCTGAAGTAAAGAAGGTGCCTGTTGAAAAGCAGACTTCAGCAGAAAAGAAGCATTCCACACCTGTAAAGGGGAAAAGTGGAGTGCCAGAAAATATGACTAAAACTTCACAGAGTTTAGGTATGTAAAACATACTGCGTTTCAAAAGTTTCCTGTTTTTAATGGAAATCTGCCGGTTAGTGAGGGCTCTAGAATTTGGAACTGACAATCATGTTCCTTGTAGGAGTTGGCATCAGTATATTTAATGTTCAGTACAAAGTGGAGCAGAATGTGCCTTGACTGTAAAGATCCGTAAATTGCCTTTTTGTGCAGGCATACAACGGAATAGCAGTCCTATTGATTTCTGCCAATTTTTAAAAATCTGGGACCGAGTACTGTTAGGGGAGCAGAAGTGGGCAGGAATGGTGAACTTCCATTTGTGTTGTAAGGATGTGGACTTGTGCATGTGAGATGTCTGATACAGTTTTCAAAGTGCTCAGAAATAGTTCCCACATAATGATTTCAATTACTCTGTTCTCAAACCCGATTAGCAAATGATAACTGTTGACAGTCTGTGGTGTCTTTGTTCTCCACTTCCTTTGTAAACTTACCCCTCCCAAAATACACCCCCTACTCTATTGTATTTTGGACTGCTGATGCCTTTTCCACGACCCATTCGCCTCTTTTCTGTACCTCTTCTTTGTTGCCTTCCTGATCTGTCTACTGTCTCCAGTTCATTTACCTCATCTCATCTCATCTTTCTCTCCTGCTACTGCTTTCCTTCTTGTCATGCTCTTCATAATAATTCGAATGTTCCAGTTCTAACTTACATCTCAAGGCCTTTGACTATGGCAACTTCACATTTACACTCTTCTTTAACAGAGGTCACCTGTTTCCAGGCAGAAGCCTCTTTTCCTGTACATGGAGAGGCAAACTGCTGTTGGGTGCAAACTTGCATGAGCGGCTGCTTTGCTGCACTTAACACTCCTCCTTTACAGCCCATATCTGTCCAACAGAGTGTCACCTCCCCCAGGATCCCACATTTTTCATTCCCTGATCTCTCCCTTTCCAGTTCAGTCTTCCGTATTAAATACAGTGTTTGTCACCTAGGCAGGGGCAATAATTACATTTTTATGTTGCCTTTCCTCCAGGGTCCCCAAGGTGGCACACACAAAAACATTTGAACAATTGAAAACAACCATTTAAAATTCTAAAATAATTCAATATAAAAAAGCAACACCAGAACTTGAGGGGGGGACAATGTTATTAGAGATATATCAAAAGTAGTAGTAGTAGTCATAGTAGTGGATATTAATTGAACTTTTTATTGTTGTACTTTTATTTATTTGGTACAGAATTTGGCAAAGTGCTCTCTCATTCTGCATGTGCCTGATCATGAACCTGAATTTAGGACAGTGCTTTTATTACTTGTTCATTAAACACAGAATAGGTCTTGGCTAGGAATGGATAGTGATGACCTCATGAGTGTGTGCATGTGGACCTTGAGATACTTCCGTACAACCTACAAGATCTTGACAGAATTCTGAGAAACGTACTTTTGGCTTGCATAGTAAAAGAGATGGTTTTAATAGCAAAAATGTCACAGGGTTGGGGAGGAAAGCAACATTCAGGAGAAGTTAAAATTGTCATTCTCATAATGCAATTTTTATTAACAATTAATGGGAAAATTAAACATTTGAAACGTTTTTGTGTTTCCCCCTTAGGGAGCAAAACTAATACATTGCAACCTGGAACAAAAATCGAGACTGGTGATCACCTTTCTACCATAACACATAATTCAGACACTACTAAAAATTGCTCTGTATTAAAACAGTGTGCTTCTTCCTCCCCTTTAAAGCTGGATGGCTTACATTCTTGTTCCCCATTAACTCACAAACCTGGTGGTTTAACGCCAGTGATTAAGAGTCAACAAGATTTTTCAACTCCCTACGGGTATTTTCAGTGCAGTAGTAACAAACCTCATGTGACACCCAAAGGTAAGAACTTTGATGTGTCGGCCAGTGATCATACTGGAATTTTGCTGGACGAGAAGAAGAATGGCATGCCCCCATTCCTTCAAGACCTTACTATTTCAAAGCCCGCATCTTACAGAGAATCTCTGCCCTGTACACTTGAACAAGAAGTAGTCAACAAGCAAAATTGTGAAATTAAGTTGGAAAACTCTTCTGCCTCACAGTTGATTAACCCTGATCCATCAGTGCTGTTGAATGCTCCAGGAGAGGTGGTCAGAAATGAAATGTGTTCTTCCCAGGAGAGTCCAATGCAAACAGGTGCTTTCAAACAAAACTCAGATTGCAATTCCACCACTGTGGACAACAAGCCAAGCAATGAGCTCCTAAAACGCGCAGATTCAGAAGAAAAAGCAGAGGAAATGTGGTCGGATAGCGAGCATAATTTTTTGGATAATGACATCGGTGGGGTAGCTGTGGCACCATCTCATGGCTCCATTTTAATTGAATGTGCACGCCGTGAACTACATGCTACAACGCCTATTAAAAAGCCCAACCGGAATCATCCCACACGGATCTCTTTAGTCTTCTACCAACACAAAAACTTAAATGAGCCAAAACATGGGATTGCCCTGTGGGAAGCAAAGATGGCTGAGAGAGCAAAGGAGAAAGAAGCAGAAAGATTAGAAGCAGAAAACAATAATCAGCAACCCAATGACAAGAGTGCACAGCCGGCTAATGCCACCAGAGAGATTTTCTATGAAGACAATGAATTCAACCAAATTCCCTCCCGGCGAGCGTTAACAGTAACTCATGATAACATCATAACGGTGTCTACTTATGCCCTCACACGGGTTGCTGGGCCATATAACCATTGGGCATAAATTTTCATAGCAACTGTACAACCTTGCCTTGGAGCAGTGTTATACAATAATTTCTAAAGGTGCTGTTAAAGAACAAAGTCTTGTGTGGTTTACTCTGTTCATCTCAACCGTTTGAAGGCTGAGGTTAAAAAAATGATCATTTTTTTTCTTAAACTGTGACTTTATATATTTTAACATCTGATGATGCTCAAGCACATTTTAAGCAAAAAAAATTGTATGGTTAAATGATTTTGGCTAGGTTATTTAACCCTGATTGAATTTATTCAGTTTATTACATTTTTGGAATTTATACTTTGGTGCTTTGAATCGTCTGTTTACTACAAATGGGCTTTTTATAAAGATTTTAACAAATTTCACCTTTTATGATGTAAAATCAAGTTAAACAGTATTAGCTATACACAGCTCTTGGTGCTTAATCACACAAAACAGTTAAGGATAAGCTGATTTATTTCTTCATGGTGCCATTGTTCTGACAGCTTCCAATCATTGCTATGAAGCCCAATTTTAGGATAAAGAACCAATGATGATTTTAACTATGTACAGATCATTCACATATGTATAGCTGTATGTATGTGTTGTGTATACGCACGTACACACACTTTTTCTCATACACTATCACTAGTGATGGTTGGGGTTGTAAGCTGTAAATATATATATTTAAAAGCACTTTCTATTTTTAAAGTTAACTTGAAATAGTATAAGGATCACAATTGTTTAAAGTCTGCATTCTCTACCAAGGAATTTATTTTTTTTCTCACTCGGTAAAGTTCCATACAGCTATAACTGTGCATATATATTTGCTTTTTAATCTCTTCTCCCTTCCCTTATCCCAATGAACATTTCTGTTTCTAAGGAAAAGGTAAATAAAATGCAGAAAGTTCAGTAATTGCAAATATTAAGACATTTTGTCCGTATCTGTATTGCTATGGTTTTTTGGTTTCAAGCATGTATTGACCATGGTTTATTTTAGCAATAAGTGCATAAGTCTTTTCTTATATGCAGCACTCACTGCAAGTTATATGAGACAACCAAATGTTCCTAATGCCTCAGGGGTAGAGTTGGTATGGGATCAGAAACTGCCCCCTCGAGTTGCCTTATTAATATTTTGCAAAGTAGGAATTGGAACCTTTCTAGAAGAGAGACATTTGCAGTATGAGCTGCTTTGGAATAAATTTTAGTTTTATTAAGCTTCCCAAATGTTCATCAACTGCTGTCAGTTAAATAATCTATTTTGTAAAATCTTGTCTGCCGCTTCCCCTATATGAAAAACAAACAGTGGCATCTAAGGCTGATTCCCACAAAATGTTTCATGTAGAAGGCTTAACTCAGTGGACGGAGCACATGTTTTGTATGCAGAGGGCCCCTGGCAACTTCAGTCAGATTTTAAAAAGTATCTCCCACAGCAGGCCTGATAAAGTCCTTTGCCTGAGACCTTGGGAAAGCACCACCAGTCTGCACACCGTATATTGGACTACATGGACCAATAGTAAGGCAGGTTCATATATCTCCTTCTGGAACCAAATTGCATCATAACTTTTGATCTCATTGACAGCTGCATTTCTACACACATTTCCCCCCATATGAATTTTGTCTGTTTTGAATTCAAACAACATACTTTCCCATGTGCTATGTGCTCTGATCCTCACGACTTTTTTGTGTGTGTGTGTGGGGGGGTCAGGTACAAGCTCAGCTGCACATGGCAACATGAGATGTCTTAATATTGCTGTAGGGATCTTGATCCTACAGGGGGACTGGACTTGCCATTTTTCAAGGTGCTTACTGATTTGCTCCTTAACGCATGATCATGGGATTGATCAATTCAGTTTCTTGATCAAAAGCCTTAAAGGAAGGCCACAAGGCATAGCCATAGAAAAAGATAATGATCCACGTATGGAACGGGGCTGAGCTTTAGTGGTCAGGTGTAAGCTTTCAATGCAGAAGGTCCTTTTTGGCCTCTTGCAACTCCAGTTCAAAATCTCAGGTAAGTAGGGCTGGAAAGAACTCCAGACAAAGACCTTGGAGAGCCATTGCCAGTCGGATTAGACAGCACTGGCCTAGAAAGATGGTCCAGTTCAGCTTAAGGCAGTGCCATATGCTCTAAGAACAGAAACAGTCCTGGCCCAAGATCTGACTGTTTGAAATTGATCCCTACACAATTCCATCCCTGAGCCATCTCCAAGCTGCTCTTAAGAAGTCTCAGAATCTCGGTGACCTCATCAAATTCAGGTTGTAATGACTGCTAGGTGCCAGGGTGCCCCCCCCCCGCTGTGATTATTTTAATTTCCAGGAAGAGGCAGGGATGAAAGTATGGGTAGATACACAGTAAGAAAGTGTCACCTTTCATCTTCTGCCTCAAGGTCCCCCATGAGAGATAGTACTGTACAGCTAACTTTCACCTCTGGGAAGAGGAGAGAGTAGATCAAGCGCTTGACTAGGATGCCCACTGATTTGTGTTGGAGCAGTTTGTGCTAAACAGTCACAGGTCCAGCAGCCCTGCATCACAGCGGGATATAATCAATTTTTTTTAAGTAGATGCCACAGGTAAAACAGATTGTGTGAATCAGACCTTAGTTTCAAATGGTGATTAACTGATTTTAACTAGTCGCGATGGTGACATCCTAATTAAATAATTAAATATTAGGAGAAGTCGACACTCCTATTTGGAATACTGTAGCATCCCATTTCTGCTTCTCTCTCTTTCATCTTGTTGTACAGTTTTATTCTTGGTTAATTTGATCACAAACAAATGTCAACCCTGCTCAGGGTTGTGCCTTGGCTCAGCTATATTCAAGAGATGGAAAATGTGTTGGTATTAACCACTCCAGCTAAAATCAGTGCGCTCTGCATTGGCATAGTCTGGTTTCAGTCTTGAAGGGTCAATGCTGTTATTCCCGTGTGTCTCTGCAGTGTATATAAATCCAGCAGGCGTAACCAGAGTTGGATTTTTTTTTCCAGTCTGAATTTTTGATAACATACTTGATGATAGCAGTGGTGCTGTAACAAAGTGTAACTGAAATGTCTAGATCTGCTTTCTTGCAAAAAAAAAAATCAACTAGACATGGTGCTTTATTTCTTTGAAAATGTCTACCATGGATGTGGTTTTGATCTGAAATGTTTTGGTTTTTTAAATAAATATATACGTGTGAATGCTATAATTTACCCTTAAGTCACCTCAAACTCTGGTCCTGCAGAACTGAAATGTGGGGCTAACCCCCATTTATCTCACTGCATCTGCTTTGCATAATAATTAGATGTGGATTAAGGAATGGAGCACTGCAGGAGACTGTGCTCCTTCTGCTGCACCATAGGAGCTCCTTTGCCTTTCCTGCTACTGCCACTGGTCTCTGCTTTCTTTTCTCCCTGCCAAACAGGTGACTGCTGCTGTGAGAGGCAACAGCTCTGATCCTCTGATGCTGTGGCACTATGTGTGAAGTCTGGTGCTATAGGCAGGGTTTACTGTCCCTCCCCCTCTCCATCGTCAGCATTTGCACTCCCAGTATGACGGATACTTCTGCTTGTAAATAGCTGTTGTCTACACGCTCAAGCCATCAGGCTTTCATCAAAACAATGATATTCAGTGAAATAGAAGCATATAGCAAATTGTGTCAATTTCTGTGGGAGACCTGGTCTTTTTTTCTGTTCCTGGATTGTGCTTGTGACCCACAATCCTGCAGTCATTTGCAGAGTCTTAAGAAAATGAGGCTGTGCAATTGCATTGTGGATTTGCGCCCCCACACTTTGCTACTAATCACAATGCAGCGCTGTTCAGACCAGTTCTGCAGTTCTCATGCCACAGCCCGTTGTATCACCTGGAGTTTGAATCACACACGTTAAGGAGAGGAGGATGTCCATCCAGTCTTTCTGTCTGTACAAAAAAACAAACTTTGTAAAAAAAAATATATATGCTGCAATTTTTTAGTTCAGAGCTTATGATTAGCTGAAATAGAGGATATGAAGGGATTGTAAATAATTTAGAAGTCAATACTATATCATCATTTTGTACCAGCAGTTTTCTGCTTCCTGGATATCTATATACATTAAATCATTATGGTATTTTTGTGTGCCTTAGATTTACATTTTAAAATTTGTATATTTTTTGTGAACCTAAAGGTTATTACAAAAATAACAGCTGTCTGTACAGTAAGCAGGATTGTGAATTCTTCCACTGCTTGTCTTTGCAGGGGTTTGGGGTTTTTGTTTCTCTGTGTGTGTACTGTGGTTTAGTCAAGCTTTATGCCAAATCATTCTGTAGGAACAGGACCTTGCTGAAGGGATCATTTGCAGCTTACGAAGAGCGTTTTTAGCTTTGCTAGCAGTGTTGTGTGCTGTCGAAAACGATACCCCCCCCCCTCCCCGGGGCATTTAATACCCATGCTGAAAGTATCACTATTCCTTGCAAGGCTTTTCTTTTTTAAAAGAGGTGTTGGAACTCTCAAGAGGGAAATGAAGTTTTCAATCTGTATACTGAAAACTCATGAACTTTTAAACATTTTTAGAAGAATTTTGTTAAGAGGTTCTGGAACTCCATTCCGGCACGTTCCCCCAGAAAAAAAGCCCTGGTTCCTTGTAAATGTACCCTGTAAGACTTGTGGAACTCTAATGCAAAAGTTGAATGGACTTCTTCTCTATACATACCATATCTTATGCTAGGCTCATGTGACGCTAGAAAATGCAGAACCTGGAAGGGTCACTTTTTAAAAAGGCTGAAAATTGAGATAGACACATCTCTAAATACCGCTCTTGTGCAGTGCGGAATTTTCAACTACTAATAAAAACGACTATTTCAGCAGACAGAGAATCCAGGCCTAAAATGACAATAATTGACAGAAAGCAACACGTATTTAAACTGTAAGTGAATGGTCCCTTTTAGCAGCTAATTCAACTTTCTCAAATTCATCAGGCTATCAAAATGCTTAAAACATGCTAGAGAATTTTTGTTAGAATTTTATTGTGGTTTCCAGTTCCCTTTAAATAAGTTGAAATGTGGATGTGATGCTGTT